ACCTTTGCTGCAATTATCCCTTAATCAAATTCAAAACGCGTTGTACAATTAGATGGGAGTATTCTATTGAATAATGTTATTTGCATCGCTTATTATGATAGTTGTCCTACGTAACATACATATTACAGATGGTTATTTGATGTATTAGTCAATAAAAAATTACCACATTAATATATCAAATAGTCACATGTCATGTGTATATCACATAGGACGACTGTTGTAATGAGAAACTTCGAATAGTATTACTTGTATACTATTAATCAGTTGTTTTTATCGTCCAACTAGACAAGTAACAGTTTTGTCATAATACTAGAGCCTTGTGTTTTTTCATAAACGAAAGAGAGAAAAAGACACCCGACTAAATAGATGGCTGAAATATTACATGTTACCCTTAATTCAATTATGTGGTGCGTAATGTAGAAAATTTGTTATGAATTTTGACCAATTATTTGATTAGGTTTTGATAGTTGGATATAAGATTTCTTTGACCAATTGTGTTCTATTTTGCAATTAGAATAATATATTTATTTTGTTAGAAATAATTTCGAGTGAACGAGAAATTAAGGTCAAAATAGGCAACTTGAATTAAGGTCAAAATATGCAACTTGAAGTTGAAAAAAAAAAATGGAAGTAAAATTGGTGAGAAATTGAACAAGTGTCCAATCTCACATAGGAAATCTATAAAATAAAAAGTCATTCTATATAATTCAATGTTTGCACTTGAATTAGGGTTCCAAGGGGTACCAACAATTTTTGAAGACAGATGACCTATATGTTAGTAGGTTGGGTCAAAGCCTCCGCTCGCCTGACCATCATGGGCACATGGCTTGGGTTTGGGCTTGAGCTTGTATTAAGTGACGATTTATCTAAACGGTTGTTGTAAGGACAAATTATATCTTTTTAAGACAAAAAAATTCAGCAGTTGTGACTTTTGGATACAATCTTTCAACTTTTATAAATTGATCCACATATCTTGGATTTTATTTATTTTAAAATCATTTCAAAGTTTCTCCTGCAAAATTAATATTCCTTTCTTTCCTGCACTATTTTGTGTTCTCCATTTCGGTCTTTAATATTATTTTCTTCCATATTTTAGTTCTTTTTTGGTTCAGAGAGATCAAAACATTAGTATGTTTGTTAGGTTTTATAATTTGAAGTGTTACTATTACAAGTCGATATCGTTATATCTCAGAAGATGAGTGCCAGAGGACCATCAGCACATGTACGAGGCATTATCATTTAAAAAAAAAAAAGAGTCAAACTCTCGCTTCGACCATATTAGTTCTCTACTTTATTTTTTTCCTGAGTAAGTCAAAACTCTATCCAATTTTTCACTTACCAAATGGTTAGTTTTTTGAATATATATTTGTGCAAGATAAATTCATTATATTATATTATTTTTTGACTATATGCCTCTGCCTCTGAGCAAGTCATACAAAACAATGTCGAACTTAGTAGATTGGGATCAACGTGCACAGACTTTAACTATTTTCAGCAGTTGCAGTGCTCAAGACATGTTTAGTTTCAAGTTGCCCTGCCACAAATTTACGATCCTTTGATGCAGGCAAGTACAAATTACAACTATAATACCTTTTCATACAAGTGTCTACTGACATTTGCAATTTTAAAAAAAAAAGGTTGAACCCCAACCTTGAGGGCCCTCACCGACCCTGACCTGGGCCATTGTGGAGGAGGTAAATCGAAGGATGTGCCTCCCAGGAGCCAGGGTAGAGAGCTTATGGATAGACCTTGGGCTATT